TATATATTTACATAGATGTTTTCGGGACTAATCACGAGAGGCTGATGACGATAATTATGATCTTAATAATAATAAGATATAATATAGGTGAATCTTGTATATGAGCGACTAAAAGAAAATGCGAAATAATAATCAATAATATAGATTGTATTTTAAAGAAAATAGCAAAACAAATAACAACAGATATCCGTACAGATCTATTTGTGTAGTATAAATGAGACGATACGTCAATGACAGCGGTCAGATAAAACCAGCTCTTTCTGGTCCACCGGCCGGCATGATTAGAGAGACAAAATCCAATTAACAGCTCGTGGCTCGGAGTGTTTTCCTTTTTCCAACGCGCAACTTCTAGTCGTAAAGTAGCAGTATTATAATGTGTAGCAAGTGTATGGTAATAGAGTCCTAAAAGGGTTCGAAGGGAAAGGCTGAGAGCGATGGATATGTAGACGCCATAACGTGCGTCGGAGGTCGAAGGCAGTTAGGTACTAATAAAGGCCCTTACGAAAGATAAACTGAAAATGAAAACTGTGTACGAGAGAGGTCGGGCAGACGAGATAGCAAATAGCTAACGGAAAATGGCGGTCTTAAACACAAGGAGAGCTAATGAATTTTTATGAGTTGTATCGGTGATCGGACAATTGACAGTTTTTTTGAGGCTAGCAAATTGATCGAGCGATTATTGCTAAACGATTACACAGAGAGGAAAGGTCCAATGATTCGCTCTGTGCTAATTGGGACAGAATATGGGAGAGCAAAACGAGCCTAAACGAAAGGACGCCAGTATGGACACAGCTGGCCTATAATTGGTCTTCGCGGAATAAAGGCGTGTCAAGCCAGAAAGACGGAACGTGAGTTAAGAGGGCAACGATTCTATTTAGAAAAGAGAGAAAAAAAAATCGGAAAATAATGGATAGACAAATAAGGCAAAAAGAAAACGTGTCAAAGTCAGGCAGACGTCAATTATAATGAATGAAAGAGCCAGAGACGCACCTGTAAATAGAAGCAAGACATAGTGCTTGATATTATTAGAAGAAGTATAATGCTCAAAAGCAGAACGGACGTTGGTTAAGGCGATACAATGCACAGAATACGAACAGGATGGCCCCGAAGGGAAATTTCGAAAGAGGAACACGCAAACAAAGAACAGCGCGAACTATAAGCGAATGAAGGTCGCATCCAAGAAAGCATTGCCGTGTGCCTGACGATAACAATGATATGATGATTTTAATTAGAAACACAGTTACAGCTAAAACGGCAGCACTGGCATTAATTTTGCAAAAACGCAGACAAACATACACGAAATACTAATAGTAACTTGTTTGAGAAGAAGCATTAGCACGATCAGAGAGAACTCATGCGACACACTTCCTCGCTACTGGTGGACGTTTGTTTACTTATTAGACGTTAGCTCATGACCTAGGCAGAAGCGTGCTAATTACACAACTATGTACATTGCCTGAAAAACTAATCATTTATATCGATAGCAGTGCACAAATTCGGGAGTGATTTATGGAAAAAAACGTCTTCTAACGGCAGCAGCAGCAACAACGGCAAATTACGCTGTAAACAACAGACAAGGACGAACGACGAAATACGAGATTGTAGCGTAATCGGAAATCGATGAGGTCCAGAGAAACAGACAAGAAAATTTAGAAAAAAAAAACAGAACGACACAGGAACTACACACATGGAGACACTACGAATGTGAGCGAGGAAGTACGCAAGCGGCCAACGAGAGTGTGTCATTATGACGATGATGATAGGAAGCTGCAGCCACAATCTTCCACGATCAATAATTGTCGAGACAAAAAATACCGATTGTCGCACACACACACAGATACACACAAACACACACCACACCACACACACACACCACACACACACACCACACACACACACACACACACACACCAACACACACACCATACACACACACACCCACACCACACACACACATACGACACACACACATACGACACACACACACATACGACACACACACATACGACACACACACACACACACACACACACACACACACACACACACACACACACACACACACACACACACACACACACACACACACACACACACACACACACACACACACACACACACACACACACACACACACACACACACACACACACACACACACACACACACACACACACACACACACACACACACACACACACACACACACACACACACACACACACACACACACACACACACACCACACACACACACACACACACACACACACACACACACACACACACACACACACACACACACACACACACACACACACACACACACCACACACACACACACACACACACACACACACACACACACACACACACACACACACACACACACACACATATATAAAGACGATGCGTACTGAGTCAGAGAAATAAGATGAGATGCTGATAAGCTAAGAGAAGTTATATAATGCTGATAGGATGACTATTATGATATTAAGACAACGGCAAGATATATGTATAAGAGACAAAACAGGTGGGAACAGAGGGGAATGAGGTACTGGACTTTCGGAACACAACTTCTAACTGACTAAACGAACAGCTTGGGACACATGGTCCATGTTTTTTTAAAGCGGTCCTAATGTTTAGTCACGGATAACAGGTTTGGAAGGAAAATAGCAGAATATAACAACCGCAAACGATAGAAGAAATGAAAACAATGTGGTTCATGGATTTAATGAGATGATTATAGAAAGAGATGGTGGCGAAGACGACGCTGACTATATTGGGTCTGTACAAACATATGTGAAACTAGTCCGAAATAAAATAATTATCATTTTATATTTAAATCATTAAAGTGTATCATTTCTCATTCGGTAGCTGCTGTGATAGAGATAATGTGAATCTAGATTGTTATAAAATAAGTTTAAGCGATTCTTATTAATACAGCTGTACATGAACAGCTAAAAGTCGTAACGATACAGGTTTCCACTTGAGGCCTCGCGCTAATGAAGAAAATTAATTAAACGTTCTACGTCGAAGTCTAAAACTCGACGACCCGTAAAACCCAAGTTGATTAGTACGTTTTGAAATACTATACGCATGTTTTAGCAAATCAGATAGTTTTCTTTCGGCTCGCCGTGAAGTGCTTGAAAACGCAAACGTACTTGATGGAAACTGGTGATGATGATTATTATTATTATTATTATTATACTGAAGGTTTATGTATGCTCTCGAACGTTTCATTGAACACTGTTTAAAAAAATAGAGAAATTGTTGTAAATAAATTGCCAGTTTCACGTACCTATATTAAGCGTGCTATAAAAAAAAATCTTTTATGATGGGATGATTAACAATCCAAAAGACCCTTGAAAAGATATGTAATTGGTAAAAAATGATACACTTTTATTATACACTATTTTTTGTAAACAGTCATTGAGCGTTGGTCGATTTTTCGCTTTCCCTAGGATACTAGAGAATTCTAAAGTTGCTGTTGAAAAATTATTCACGCCACAGCAAATCCTAGTAAGATAATTAATAGACAATGCTAAATAATCGAATATCGATGGAACAATTGAATTATCATATCAAATGCACTAAGTAACAGCTCGCTTTATGTACAGATTCAATCCTTCTTTGCCATTGAGAAATAACGCCGGATATCATCTCGACGCAAGGAATTAAGTATGTATCTAATAACAATAAGCAATTTACGGGAAGATTTGAATTATGTACTTCTCTTGTCAATCTTAGTGTGTACGCCGACAAAGTTAGACGTACATACAATAAAAAAAAAGAAAAACAAAAAAAAACTGCTTTGAGAATGGAAGCATAGCAAACAAAAAAGTTGTTGACTCTAACTACTGGACGAACTTCCACAGTTGATTTGTAAGACCATACAAGTTAGTTTACTTTTATAACTCGATCAAAACTTTATTTGGTTATAGAAAATTATCTACTGTGTTCCAATATGTCTTCAGAATTCTGCTATTTGCCATTTAAAAGACAAAACTCAAACAAATATTTCCACTGAAACAAACGAATTTGTCAGTACTTCGCTGTCAAGATAATTAAAGCAGATGTGACCGTTTTGGTCCTCCGAGAAAGGTGTGGGTTCGAATCCTGCTTCTCGCATCACCGGTTTATGATCGAATTCATCTGGATATGGATAGAGCTGATTTTTAAAATCATTTGTAAAAAAACCTGACATAAGCGACATTTGATTCTTAGCCAGCTTGTTGCGTTAAACCGTACGGTTGATTCAAAGAATCGTTTGGAAAACGAAAAAAGACGTGATGACATTAAGAACACTAAAAATTGTTCAAGTTAACGCGTGAACTGTGGTACATCAGCGTCAGTCATCCAAATGTTGACTGAACAATAAATAATGCGTCATCATTAATATCCTCACAGAAACTGTTCATGCATTATCACCCGAACCGAGAACAAACTATTGGCCGATACAATACAGTCTTCTAATTTCCAATTTCATAAAAGCTAACGTCTAACACACGAGGGCATACAGACACAATGGACCAATTGGTTGCACTAAAGCTGTGACTATATTCGTACAATTAAGATAACCCGATAAAGTTTAGCCACTTCATACAGCGGATATTCGCAAACTGTTTTGTTTAGATCTTAGTAGTGGTTAGGTGTTGTTTGATCGATACTTTTAGAATAGTCTCCGTGACATCCCAGCGGGAGGCAACGTATTTACCCTTGGGACTCGCAAGAGATGATCTAGGTTCGAATCCGGACATAGACGTACGTGCTCTAAGCCAGCCGTCTGTCGAAATACCTAATGGCGATGCCGGACGAAAAACTCGAAAAATAAAGAATATCCTCGTCCGGCGAACTGGTGTCCGAATAGAACGGGAAAAGTTTCCAAATTTGAAAATTTAAATAACGCTTCACCGAGTTTCTCCAAATTGCACTGAAACTTCATTTAGTAAGTCTGAGATACAAGAACGGCAGAGTTTAGGCGTGTAGTGTTTAGACTTGTATGCCTTTTTTTTTTTGAATAACTTAAACTTACTTCCCTTTCAGAGAATGTAAAAAAAAACGTTTTATTTTAGTTAGATTCTAAAAAAATGAAACTCTGCAAATTTCATAGTGCATTTTGTCGGAGCCATTGCAGGAGGTAGTTAAGGACGTACTAAATAGACGGCGCCCAAATTAAAGTACATTCTGCAAATATTAGGTCCTTTGTGGGGACACTAGTTATCTTTTATTTAGTCATAGATTGGAATCAGCAACAGAACCTGTCGAGTACCAGTACTCGTATCTTCCGTAATGAAGGCTCGACATTTGCGTCTCTGAGAAAAATGCCTATTTGTTCATAAAGTATGTTCCCATTGTTACCTCAGTCGTCTGTAAGATTGAATACGACAAAACGAATTATCGCTTCTTCACAAGCGTGCGGGTTCCGACCATATCTTTTAGACACTGATCACGTCCTATAATGAACGGAACCATGTGTTGTTTAAACGTATCAAGCAAAAGCTAGAACGGAATTGAATTTCGCAGCACACAGAGCGTCTCTTGATTTCATAAACTACGCTATATATATATGAGTGATATAGATACGCAGACTCGCTTGGGAAGGACACAGTCAACCTTCCCAACCATCCAATCACTTTCATATAGACATTCACGCTATGGGAAAACCTACGACCATCCAGAAACAGACACTGCCATTATTCTCAGCTGCTTTTATTTATTTATGAACATTACATAAGTCAGATTTATGCATTGGAAAATGCTTAAATCCAGCGGGGCTAGCTGACTCCCTTTTTGAGACGCAATCGCAGTCAGCTGCCTAAAGTATCGGTCGGCTCCGAGTGCAGCACTTTAGCTTGGTTTTATGTAAAACATTTGTACAAAAAGTTCACAGTTACGCCCCGCGGATCTTTAACAGACCTCTGGCGCTTGTATGTTGCCTACTGCGCTACTAAATATCTTCCGCCCATCTCACGCATACAGCCTCTCAAGGGTCCTAGTTTAACATCGGTTCTATAAATGTATATATTAAAAACGTTTTATAGCAGCAACTACCGCATCCATTCGGCATTATTACAATTAATCATATGTCAGTGAGTGGTCATAAATTCGGCTGATCATTTTTAACAGCCATTTCCGTCACGATGTTGTAGCCGTTGTCTTCCGTCGCACTTCACAACGGTTGCGGAAAATAACAAATGGTCCATAGTAAAATAATATCTTGATCTCCTCGATATCAACGTCCTCGTCAGCCCGACATGCACGTCTACGACAGGAAAAAGGGGCTAGAATTAAATTCTTGAGTACGTATAGTGCGTAACCATATCAGCAGATATCTACACAGAACGTCCGTTAGCTTGGAGCATAGCACTCGGTACCCTGCCCCAGTATCCTCTAATTTGGAAATAGGTGGTGTCGAAATAGATGCAATTATATACTTTGATTATCTGTTAAAGCCATAGAAATTCGTGTAGTGACCGTTAACTAGGGTTGTTCGGCTTCCTCCGTCATTTCCGCTTTCTGTTCCTTATAGGTCTGTTACAGTAGTTATCATTCCTTTATCGGATTTTCTTTGCCATCGTTCAGAATCGGGGCCGATCACAATGAGGACAATGTCCGACTATGCGATGTCATGAAAATTCTTGCATGAGTAAAATGATTATCGCTTCAAATTGACGGTGATGCAAGCCTGATCGTTACTTGATGTAGCATTGGATTGTTACCGATATCGTCATTCATTTCCTTAAGAGGGGTGGCACCTTTTGAGGCTATAGATTAACACACGTTTTATTTCCGCTTCGAGTTACACCGAAATATTGTTATTGTTGTTGCTGTTGTTGTTGTTGTTGTTGGCAGGCTGCGTCGTGTTTTGTCTGAAATAAACAGGGCAGTATATAACAAAAGGTTGAATTTTCCCGATAAATAGATAGATGTTTTCGATATTTGTGGAATGCCTTTATGGTACTTTTTGCGGTCATCCAGGGATCTCTCAGACTGTGCTGACATCGGTCTTGTGTGGCTTGCTCCGGCTAGAATAAATTACGAGCCAATGATTATAGTTACCTGTTATTCATGTTCTTAACACCTGCCCCAAGAGGAGAATGCAGGGGCGAAGAGGCCGAGTGAAATAGCCCAGGTTGACCGTTTGCCTGTTGCTGTTGCTGCTGCTGCTGCTGATGCTGATGTTGGGCCGCTGCCTGGGCCATGCCAAGAGTTGCCAACGCGTGTTGGTGCTGCTGTTCTGTGTGGGAATTATTTAGAATGAGTATCTGTGGCTGTTGGATTAACTTCTGGTACTCGTAGAAATCACGTGCGCTGCACAGAGGCGTCTCAACCTCATATGTGTTGTTAAATTTCGAATAATCAACGAGATACTCAGAGGAGTCCCGTTGGAAGCGGACGAGTTGTTCAAATCGGTGACCCCACAAAATTTCCGACGGCAAATAACTCGACCTGCAATATACTTCCTGTCTGTATTAGTAGTAATGGCTCAAGGACCGAGATTTCTACACTCGCCAGTTACGAGAAAGGACCATCGCAATCATTATTATTATAAATATTATTAGTAAAGCCAACCACTTGTTGGTCCGTCTGTTACTGATGACATGCCATTCGTCTCGTGCCTAAAGACTCAGATTATGACGTGAACACGCTGAATTAAGAAGGGCCATTTTGCGGTGGCTGAATATCACTTGCGGGTGCGGGCTCTACATTCGTTTAGTTGATAGTGGGCTGGGGCCGATTCAGTAATATAAAAAGCTAATTGGCTTGAATATTTTTCTAATGATCGACGATTCTCGCGCAGCGTAACCCTGACGACACAATGAGCTTATTATCCATTATCAATAATATGACCCAACACAAAATGTTCGCAAATAGACCCAATATCTTGCGAACGAACTACAAACTCTGGATAGGTTGCTTTTGCTAACCATGCGTACGCATCTCACTATCGCACCATTAGTATACAAACCTGGCTTGTATAGACTGTCCCGTAGATTCAATCGTGCCTTCAAGGACTACGACGATTTCGAAGCGATCCTTCATGATATCTTCCGCTGAGAGCGTATATAAGGGCGACCTTTCATTTATTTCATGCACAATAGTGGCTGGCCAAATAAAGAGAATGGAGTCGTTACCAGCATCGAAGCGAACATCTAAAATCGTATGATAATACGGGATCACCTCCCCTTCTGCTGTCACCTATGGAATAATATCAAACTTAGATATTGCACTTAAACCCATCGAGCAGGATCGGTACATATAACTTAGAAAATGTAACTGTACCAAAAAACTGGCGAGGAATGGTGGCGCTAACTTCCAGTTTATTTTCTAGCGTCAAAGAAAGTTAAGATGGCGTTCATGGAGGTTCAATGTACGAGTATCGCAAATATAATTGCGATACCATACAGGTCAAGTATCTATTGATGAAAGTGTACAGAATTTTAGAATTAGGTTCGAATCCGTGCATAGACACACGGCTCGTTTCCCGCTGGGAATCGGCCATCTGATGCTATGCCTCGTATGGAATGTACGTAAAAGTGGAAATATGTGAGGATTTACGCTTTTGATGCACTTCTAACTATCTGCTATCGGTAATAATCTCCCTTCGCGTTCAGTTTTGAAACGGAGCAGCGCGTACCTTTCGTTTGATGATCTGGGCGCTGATATTTGTACCAATGATGTGCGATTTCCGCATGTCGCCCACTCTAAATAAAAGACAGAGTTTACTGTCCCGAAGACAGATAACTGCGTGTCGACTGAATAAGAGCGTCTGTGAGCGTTTCTTAGGTCTTGATAACTTCGCGAATACGATACCAACCATGAAGCACTGAATCATCACGCCTACGACGGATTGAAGGCATAATATAAACACAGCTTCTGGACACTCTTCGGAGATGTAACGATTGCCATACCTGTGTTAACACGAGTCAAATAAACTAAGACAATTAAACTAATTGTTTGATGGTAGGGTTCTTTATGTAGCGAAATCAATTCAAGATGAAGTGTATGCGTACGTAGGCCTAAAGGTAAGAATCTGTACATCGAAAAACTCTGCCGTCTTCCCAGTGTGTCAGCTCCAACACAAGTTTTGACTTTGGATGTAATACAAACGAGCGACATATCAAGTCAGCTTCGATAACAAAAAAAAACAATTGTGAAAAATTAATTTATAATGTAACGCAAATCGAAACTACCGCGACTTACTCTCATAGGCGTCGTGTCGTACACATACAGGTGACTCATGCTACATGTATTTTCAGAGAAGCTAGGGTATCTTTTGCATGACAGATTATTCAAAATGACTGCATAAATTCGTCACATTGACATTGACTGGGTCTACGACTGACTAAAGCCATAGTCGTCCACTGACAATCAGACGACGGTTGCTTTTACTCGAATTCAACATCGGGCACCGATCGGATCCACTATATGTGAAAAGCGTAGGACGCCGCCAATACCCAAACAACGTAATAGTAGACCGATAAGTAACCTCGTATCGATAGATATTCATATGGGTCTTTAAGAACATCATTTCTATTAGTAAGTAATAATACTGTAGAGTAAGAATACTGCTGATAGTTAACCTGCGAGGTATACTATACATTAGTTTATAACATAATTTATTAATACTCATCAATGGCAAACGATGGATAAATGCGAGCGGTTTAGAATTGGCCTAACAGTACGTTGATATGTAAATTGTAGGTTATAAACAATAATAGTTTATCGTTAATAACAACTAACAATGTTTGGAAAGATAGGTTCCAACGATTAGTTCTTGAGATACGTAGGGGCAACATGGGTTTACTCTATTTTGGCATGATCCAAGCTTAGTTATTACCACATTTTGATTTTTGAGACATTTTAACGCACAACAAAGACTGATTGAAGGATGACTGACAACAAATGTATGCTAAAAAAGGCTTTCTTGATGAGCACACATGCTGCAGCACATATATATATATATATATATATGATACAATGAAAAATGCTGACTTTCTTTTTGAGCTTCTCTGCTGTCTATCAGCCCGTCTTGTTATGTTCAGTCTGGAAGTGATGAATTTGCCTATCTCATCTATATCCCGACATCTAGTCGGACCCTGTCAATAATAAATTGTTGTTTGTTAGTGGGATATTCACGTATGCCTATTGCTACACTAGATACCCATCGCCACGTATATTTTAAAGATAAAATCTATTATATAAACTAGCATTAAATTCAAGGCGTGACGAGAATTAGCATCCTGTTGTCAATATCATTGCCTTCTGGTCAGTTAAACGAGTGTACAAAATGTCCTATTTCGAATTATGTCTACTGTGCCCGCGATGTTGCGGCCATTTAGTTGACCTTAAGACTGCATTTATTCTGAACGGCGTGGGCGATCGCTGAGGGAATAGCATGTTCGTTTTACGGAAAAATTGGTACTGCCCTGCAGCAGAGAAAGATCGTCCAACAGAACGCTTTGAAGTGTGCAGTGGATTATTAATGCATGTTTTCTAGTGATTACTTATAGTTGGTGGGGCATAAATAAACATAAATCCATCAGCAAACATTAAAAGCGTCAAGCGGTAACGAACGACGGGGTTGCCGAATTACTATGTAAATATATCGACTCATAATGCTCATACAAAGAACAAGAAGAAGCTAAAACATTTGGTGAGACTAGTTAATGTAATTGTGACAAAAAGATTGACGGAAGCTGTCGGCTGCACGGAAAAATGCTAGATACCCTTTATTGATGTATAATAAAGCTGAGGTTATGGATGCTTGGGTCGTAAAGTCGCAGTTTTTTTGGAATCGTTGTTTTTTGTTCTATGAATGAAGATGAAGACTTTTAACTTGAACAGTTGAGGGACAGCCGGTCGGATCATAGAAGAGCGAAGACTGTAGGTGCGCAACACACGTGAAATGAAATACTGACAATGCCATAATGTAGCTCGAATCAAAGGACAAGCGGTATAGCTTCCTAGGCTCTTCCACGCCTGCAAGCGTTTCGTTTGCAAACTTCGCTGAGCTTATTTGAAGAAACCTTTATTACTTTCAGTTCATTATTAGCTATAAGTGTTTTGTGTGATGCTTGTGGTGTGAAGGTGTCGCTGATGTGGGGAGAACATACTCATACGGTCAAGTGGAACTGGATAACTTGAACACTGCTACTAAATCATAAGCTAAGCGGATGAGGACCAAACATTGACATTGTTTTTGCTATTAACGAGATATATCACACATGTATAGTCGTACGTATCATGTGTGTGCTTACTTGTCGAAAAACGCCATGTTAGGTCTGCTATTGCAGAAGGACTACTGCGATGTAGCGCGCGTCGTATGGACCATCATCTGTGACTCGCCTCACTTACTCAACCTGATGTAGCATTTTCGTGCCTGCTATAACCGTAAAGGTTGGCGATGTTGAATCTTAGCGCAATTGTGGATAATGGATCTATAAGCCAACAGAAACAGACTCTAGAACAACTTGAAAATTACCTCGTCAGTGCAAAAGGAACGTTGACGACACGAACGTATTCGAACAGCTGAGGTAAAATGTGCACTGTTCTCTATGGCGATAGCCACGGTATACCTGAAGATACTTGCAAGTTTGATTGTCAGTCTGACGGACTTCTTAGTGGTATATATGGCTGGGAAGTCATGTCGGCCTTCTCTTAGAATTGCTTATCCTAACCCACTTAAGTTCTCGATAAAAAGCGACAGGTCTTCATGAAGAGATGTTATTACTCCAGCCCCACGTGTTATTGGCGACTGATTGTATGTATTGCACTCGATTTTTCGTACTGCAACCAATTCTCTGTTTGCTGATTGTTCGCTCGTTCGTGCAGTACATTTCGACCCCTTCTATGTCCATTCCGGTCACCTCGCAATTTAAGCACAGCCTCGTCAGGCGTATAACTAATCTAGCATAGAAAAAACTAACGAGGCCCTTTTTCCAGATCATCACCTGCTTATCACACTATACATTACATTTTAAAAGCAGTTGGCAAGAGTAGCTCGATGATTTACAAGTCTAAGGAAGACGCGTGATGCAACGGAACATTAGTAATGTATTTTGTTTCAACAACTGACCCGATCGTGTGCTGTGTTTCCAGAGAGAAGAGAAACGCGGCCGTGAAAGTAGTTACTTCGGTTACGCACGGCTTCCATGTTTCGTTTTTTGCATTAGTTTCATCGAAGTCGCCGTGCGCAAACATTATTAGCCACCAGACGACGGCGAAGATCAGCCAGGAGACCACAAAACCCATGGCGAACACAAGTAAATTCCATCGCCATTGGATATCCACCAATGTTGTGAAAATGTCCTGTAAGTAACGATAAGAAAAAATCCTCAGAACCGGTTGCGCTGGGTATTAACAGTAGATGATTCAAATTCACATATCAAAAGGGCTCTTGTTTAAGGAACTTAAATTTTTATTTTGTATGTTAAATAAGTACTTAGTCATAGTGTTTAGGAATTGTATTTATTGCAGATAATGTTCTTTTAATGAAGTCGTTGAATACGATCATTCAAGCAATATTAGCCAACAGAAGATTAGAAATTGCAGGATAAAGGAAATTTTAGCGAGATAAAGACGTCCCTGTTGCCTGAGCTGAGCACATGAGGCAGATAGGTTCATCAAGCGTTCATAGTGGCAATCATACATGAAGCTGATATCCCTAAAATAATCAGGTTTCTCTTCAGAATAAAATGTCTACATACGAGGTAGCGCTTACTTGTCTTATACTCGTAATACTCTATTTCCTATTCGTAGTAGTTTGTTCTCTGTAAAGGTTTATTCCTTCAACTTCAGATTTCATTTTACTATGTATTTTCCTAGCTCTGTCCTGCTTTTTAATCAGTCTGTTGTTCCATCGAGAAGGTAGTCGAATATAGAAACGATGAACTTTTTGGCAGTGAGACATGGATCTGATGCGACATAACCTAATTTTCTATGTTTTACAATTGATAGGTAAACCGTCCGACTTTTTACATGGCTTCCTTGCTGTCACCACTTGTACACCTGTGACTAAATTTAATTTTATCATAAGTATACTAACTTTAATATAGTATTGGATACTTGAGTTCTTTATACGTTGCCGAAAGTTGCGAACTACAGAAGATGGATCTGTACGCATACGTATTTGCAATGGTCTAGCTAACTTGACCTATTTTTAAATAATAGTAATAATAACTGGATGTGTTAACAATCCCAGAAAAAAATGCGATCTTTATAACCAAAATTTTATTCCGGTTACGCATTTCCATCACGATTGAATCGTTGAAACGCTATGGTGTATTTTTTAATAGTCAACAATCATTGCTAGTGTTTAATTAAACTAAACCACCCATATTACATATTGTATACTGTTTGGACACAGGAGCTGCTGAGATGCTTACCTGAAGGGCAGGTACAGGACATAAATTATGGTGATATCATAAACGGAGCGTCTTTATCGACTCGGAAGTATGGCCACTGGAGAAGCCTCTTTTTTTTAGAAGAGTTACCTGTCAGTTATACAAGAACTACTTACAGTAGCGTACGATATTTTTTTCTTCTTCATCATTTTTTTTTCGTACGAAAACCATTTGTGTTAGCTGAAGCTCGTCACAATATGTTCGAGGATGAGTTCAGTGCGACGGTTTACAGATAGTTAGTTTTTTCGTACAAGCGGCTTAACGGCGGACAAATCTTCGTAGTTATGCGCCGTGTGGCATATTCGAAAGTTAACGAACGTCTTTCGATTCACGGTAAGCATCGCAAATCGCTGCCAGAAACTTTTTTGTTGGGCACAGAAACCCAGTTTTACCAAAGTTTAATGTATGTTAAATACAACGATTTTAAGGTGTCAAAGCTATATTTCGCTCATATTGGCTTACCTACGTCAACGGAAGTTTTCCTTGTCATAATAAGACATGTCAAAATGTGGCTCGTACTATAGTACATGGCACATTTGACGAAACTGCCCAATGATAGCGAATGACATAAGCAAAAAAGAAATAGGGGAAACGCCATATAAAATTAGAAAAATAAAGCAAACAGAGAGTTTTGTTATTGTTATTTACGCAGGCATAAAGTGCTCTTTGTCTATTAGTTTGTAGATTAAATATACCACATGGAACGTGTCCGCAGTGATGAACAATTTAGAACACTGAAGCCCACTCAAACAGTATGATTAGCGCTATGAAGATCTCTGTACAAACGCGTGTATGAGTCGGCCTAGCAAACTCCTATTGCCTTATTATTGTGTTTACGACCATCGGCTCGTAAAATGCAAAGATGGTGACGTCGCAACGCTTTGCCAACTAACAGAACGTTGCTGGATCGTTTTTGATGAACTGATGCTGTCGCAAATGGGTACGCTTGACAACTGCACTAACAGCCTCGTAAAGCAACTATGGAGGCCATCTAGTTGGTCCAGCGTTGGAAGAGTCGAATATTGTAGTTCCAAGGATATCAAAATTGAGATCACAGTTAACAGTGCCGTGTCTAAGTGCTAGCCACAAGGGCAATAAGCTAGAAAGGCTGTAATGATTCCGTTGATGTTGACTAATGATTTATCTGTTTCAGTCGTGTATTTCTAGAGAAGGCTAATTTATACAAGTATACACATTTACCTACCTCATGTTACTTTGAAGCAATGAAGAAGGCATATCTCTACAGGAACAGATAGACTCTTCACTCACCTGGAGATATCTTTGACTTCGTTTATATACATGCTCCTTAGACAAGTTGACGTTGCCATTCTTGAACACAACCCGCTTACGAACTCTACTGGGAATTACTTTTGTATTTGGATATCTAAAACAGACAGATGCAGTCAAAATTAAAAATAGCGTGAATTAGACCAGCTGAAATATATTCCGATAGTTACGAATGGATACGACCTGTTCAACGCATACTGTAGCTCTCGAATGAATCGTGAGCGAAACGTGCTACAACTTACTTTGTCTCTCGCTAGACTTACACAATAAGCCACTTCTTCCTAAATCAACGAACGTTCTATCTGGGTGTCGTATACGTTGATATACCTTGGGTACAAAGGATACAGACAGTTGCTTTATGTAAACTGGCTTTTTTCTTTCGGACGGACTGTTTTTTTCATTTGAATTTTCCATATTCGTTTAAACACCTGTACAGGTCAATTTCATATTAATTAATTCAGCGAAAGCGCTTATTTATTACGCAGATTTTCTTCATGTCTAATGGTCCAGGAAAAGGCCTGCGATATCTCAAAGTTTACGATATTTGTAGATCTACGTTTGACGTAGATCTACGTAGAACAGCTCCATCATTTAATCGAGCCTTCTATGACAAAGAAGAAGGGTGTTTTCACCTTTGCGTATGGCACTAGTAATTGGTAGACTTTCTTCGATGAGCCACATTAAACGTACATTGAAGGATGAGCACTTCTTGAAAGCAAAGCCATTACATAGAGTATCGAAACGCATCCTCTTGGTAGACACTTACCCTATTATTGAAATGCTTAAATTAATTTAAACATAGATTGAAGAGGAATTCCTTCACACTGTCTTAGGTCGAGGCATTGTTAAAGCATAGCGAACCTAACCTGAGCATTCTCTTATAGTGACTTTTGACCTAGCTCGTTCAACCAGTCTATCGGACTTTGTTCTTCGGAGTCTAAGAAGTGGAAGGTTTATCATTGGGCCTATTTAGCTGCTGCCTAAAAATAGCTTCTTGAATATCTGTTGACTCATCCTCAAACTGAAGGCGACTAACAGTCGAACTAACAGCTGCCGAATGAGCAGTTCGGATAACTGAGAAACTCCGCAGGGGGCCAACGTGATGTCGAGCGACATGACCAACTCAGCTGAAAGTGGTAATATCGCTCATGGACAATCACAGAGAACATGTTTTCGTTGGGAAACAGCTTCAATGGGGTATTTTCGCTCCTTCTGATTTTTTCGTCTAGAACGAATTGTATTTCGAGTGCGAGATTTTTTGCAAGGAATTTCATGAAGCACAACGGTTCTAGAAAAATGAAGCTTCGTTTCGTAATGCGACGATTTGAAGTAACTAAATCTCGAGTGTAGACGTACTGGACAGACATATATTGGACAAATTTGACTTTGAAAGGTAAGGATGCGCGTTCGATGTCCTTGACGGGATCCGCATGCGTTACATTGCTTGTAGTCAAAATACGACCTGAACGAAGAGAGGACTCATTTGTATGTTTTTTGATAACTCGATTTTGGCGCGATATTGGACTGAGCAACAAACTGATCTCAGCCTTGTTTCGGTTCCAGCCCTTTGTTTTTCGACAAAATCCGATACGTTATATTATATAGTCTTTTGAAATATTACATGCACACAACAGATGAGTGTAGAATTAATTAAAGTTAGAGCTGGCTCAGCGCTAGTTGAAGGTTGCGTATTAACCGTAGCCGAAAGACCACTCGATTTTCTAGAGGGACACCTCGAGAGTAAAACCTTTATCTGCCTATGCAGTACATACAGGCTTCTATCGATAATAGGTGTATGCGTATTTAGTTAAACATCGATTACATTTCTATCTATGTATGCACGTTTTTTCGTTACATACGTTCTTCACCGAAGTCCCAAAACGATGCTCTCCCTAATCATCTACCAGCACAAAAGTGGAGTTTAGTCCAAACCAGCAGAAAAATTCCTTTACAGAACCCTGCTTCTTCCTTTCACCCCGAAGAAGACGTATGCACAGTTGTCTTTCGCTCCCAGGATACCGACACCTACCTATCGTCATCCTGGTGCTTTCATCCTGCATGCTTTTTCTAGCAGAATTCGATACGCGTCACATTAGCAATGCAGTATTTCTTTACCTACACTACTCGGCCGAGGAGGCGCCCCATTATTGATTCGCGCACGCGGTCTCGCTCTTTGATCTTCTCTTGTCTGCCGTTTTATTGCCGGGAGCGCTCGAGTGGTTTTATTCGTCTTGCCTTTGTTCACCTGTCTGCTTCCGTAGGCCGTGCGTGCCAAACGCCCGTACCCCCAGTATACGGCACAGCGTTTGCCCCCCACGGAAACAGGGTAACCTGAGCCTATCTACCGGCAACAGCAGATAGGGCTCGACACCATCCACACTAGGTCACCAATGGCAAGGTTCAAGCTGCGTCAACAGCTCAAACACGCATGCACTTCCGATGGATGATTTGGTAGACGGGTTGATTCGACGACTTGCGGCGGAAGCTTGTACGAGCACCACTACACGATCTACATACACAGAAGCCTTTGGATCTTCGCAAATAGAAACGCGCTTAAGGCTAGTTTTAGCTTATCGCATCCAACACATTCAACGCACCGCTAGCTGGTAATCTTCTCATCAGTTCGTTACAAACATTCAACTTTGTCGCCCCGGATGGCTTGGATAACTAGGCGGGAACAACGAAAGATGCCGTTCGTAATATCTTACAATCCCTTGTCGACGAGGCAAAGGTCCACAAATTGATTGGATATCAGAGTGACTCGCAGACTTTTAGCGTCACCCTTTAACGCTACTGCCAATGATGGTGTGTAAACCGGGCGTACAGACACATGATGCTATACTTTGTTACAACGACTCCTTGCGTAACTCGTTGAGCACAAAAAGTCCCGGCAAGACGAATCTGGCGTCTGTCTGAAGAAACGCTTACAGATTACTACTAACCCCACCGCCAGCACCATCCTCATACGATGCTGCTACCAGCCATTGCAGTAGCAGCAGCAGCAGCAGCAGCAGCAGCGCGTCAAGAGGTGAGAAAGAGCGTACGGCGATCTTCTCGCGACAACTTCTTCATCTTTATTTTCATGCACGGCTCTGAAGTTTCCCGTCGTGAATGTGTGTATTTGCGCACATTACGGCGACGATGGCGGCTGCTGTCGGAGCTAGTACAACGACAAACAACAAGTGACAAACGACAAAAAAGAACAACGCCTGCAAAATCACGTTTAGCGATTTTACGTGTGTTCTACGGCCATTCTGGCCAGCCAGCTAGCCACCCAGCCGGTCAATAAACAACTCTGTCACTCCACAAATCCTGCCGCTCTCAGTCGGCGACCGATCCGTCAGATTGCGCCGTCTTGCTAACGTACGAAAAGCCACTGTCGCAGCTGCCTCGTTACCGCTTTTGCTGCTGCTGCTGCTGCTGCTGTGGCCGTAAGGCGGCGTCGCATTGTCGAGCATTCTGTTACTAGTTGCTTTGCTGTTCTTAGCCAACTACTTCATCCCTGTTTTATGGATTGTCTATCAGCAGCGAGCGACACAAGATCCCACATGCTGGGGTACCAACGAGCTGACACCAGGCAACAATTACAACTGGCTACTGTCGGCTACCGTTTGGCAGTGCGAACTTGTTACAATGAAAATAAACTACGACAAAAACAACAACAGTCATACAAACATAATAACGAAAAATGAAAAGAAACGTACCGACAACTGATATAGTTAACAGTCGACGTATCGGCCCAAACAATAAGACGTAACGTATTGATGAATTGACGAAACAAGCCAACTGCAGAAAATCGATAGTAGTTTCTGGCAGGTCAGTTAAGACCGACCGAACCACGGTGCCAATAGAATATCGTACAAATTATAGATTCTATAAATGTTGTGCACACTTCTGTCGATCCCCTATAAAGATAAGGACAGCGGCCCAGTGTATAACCGTAAGGCCACAGCCAATTAGTCGACGCGCCAAACGCCTTGTCGACAGTATGTCAGCATAGTTTCACAAACGCTTCCCCAGCCTCTAACGTGGCAATTTTGTATCCAAGCAAACGATGCAGATTCAATGGAAACGAAGGTGTCAAAAAGTGTACATATACAACGAGGAAACAACCGCAGCGCTAATAGCGGACGAATAAGTAGAAACAGAACATAACTCATCGGCTACCGTCGTAATCGTTTCTAAGGGGGGCGGGATCACTTCGACTATAAAGACATATGTATATATTGTGCATCGATACCCAGCTCTGATAAGTGCGGCAATGCTGTGACATCGAGCAACGATTGTAATTATAACGATGCATACTGACACTGTTGACTACTATAGCAAGCGTTGTCCTATTATAGTACACTATTACAATATTATTATATATATATATCCTATTATAGTACAATATTTTAAAATTAACTTTATCAAGTCCGTCAAGTTTTAGATACGAGAAGTTTCTAGTACAGCTGCTCTGAGGACAGATAATGCTGTTGAAAGGAAGTTGGCTTCAATAGATAGATAACATTTCAAATGGTATCGCCTTATCGTTAAACAATGTCCGAGCGTATTTCAATGTAATGCAGAGCTTTCCTTAATGGCATGTATCATAATGCAGGACTGGCACGTGCTAGTGTCCTAAATTTAGCAACGAAAAGTTTCTTACACCTGGCAGGTTAGCCATGGAAAGACAAATTTAAAAGGTAAAAATTCTATTGTATGGCGAAAATCAGCCGCCACTGGCTCGGCGTTTCCCGTTAGTAGGAAATAGCCGTGCGATAGCATGCCAACATACGTACATAGAAGCACTAGAATATCCACACTCGTACGAACTTAATTATATACTTTATCTCTCTCTCTCTAATTGGGACTGGTTGTGAAGCTCGAGCCCGGATCTGGTTCTGTATCTGCTTCTTTGTTATCCAACTTAAATGGAGCAGCTGATACACAAAAACACAGTTTGGGTCAAATGTAATAGCTAATGTTTTTAAATAATCAGGTTTCTCGAAACGCACACGATGTTGTTTTCGCAAGCGCTGACACGGTCATCGTACGGATGAAATGTGAATGCAGATGAGTGATGTCCGCCATCAGGTCTTGTTGAACCCAGTT